TCCCTCTGTCTCTCAGTAATGAGTAAACTTTAAAAAAAATTAAAGAAAAGAAAAATTTTGGATATATCCTAAATTACAATCTGAATGACCTATCTGAAATCTCAAGGAAGTAACCTCTAGTAAAACCAAAGTTTAATCATCAGAAACATAATCTTTTGTCTCAAGGAAAATAATCTCATGGCATAGGCAGCCTGGAGCATAGAAAGGGAAATCCACTGTCATGTCCAAATGATCCAATTGAGTAGTACAAGGATGATCCAATATTAGGAAATCTATTATAATTGACCATATTAATAGGTCAAGGAGAAAACTTATTTTGTTAATTTCATCATTTTGAAAAAGCATTCAATAAAATTCAACATAAATTCCTGATTAAGAGGAGGAAAAGGTAAAAAGTAATTAGAGGGGCACTGGGGTGACTCAGTCAGTTAAGCGACTGACTTCAGCTCAGGTCATGATCTCACAGTTCATGGATTTGGGTTCCAGCCCTGCGTCAGGTTCTGTGCTGACAGCTCAGAGCCTGAAACCTGCTTTGGATTCTGTGTCTCCCTCTGTTTCTGCCCTCCCCCACTTCCACTCTCTCTCAAAAATAAAACATTTAAAAAAACGAATAAAAAGGAATTAAATGTTTTCTTAGCATGATCAGGAAAAAAACATGGATATTCCAAGCAAGCTACCATTGTCTGCTTACTGGTAAATTGTTAGAAATACTTTGATCAAAATCAAGAACAGGGATACCTTTGCTGGCTCAGTAGGAGGAGGATGTGACTCTTGATCTTGTGAGTTCAAGCCCCACTTTGGGTGTAAAGATTACTTAAATATCAATCTGGGGCACCTGGATGGCTCAGTTGGTTAAGTGTCCAACTCTTGATTTTGGCTCAGATCATGATCTCACCATGGTGAGATTGAGCCCCTCATTATGCTCCATGCAGGGTGCAGAACCTTCTTGGGATTTCTTCTCTCCCTCTCCATCTGCCCCTCCCCTGCTGGTGTGCTCTCTATCTCTAGGTCTCAAAAAAAAAAAAAAAAATCGATCAATCAATCAAGAACAAAATTGTGTATTGCTACGATTATTTACTACTGTTCAGGAAGTGTCAGTGGGTGTAATAATTAAAGATAATAGGGGCACCTGGGTGGCTTAGTCGGTTAATTGACTCTTGATTTCGGCTCATGTCAGGATCTCACAGCTTGTGAGTTTGAGCTCCCTTTGGGCTCTGTGCTCACCGTGTGGAGCCTTCTTGGGATTCTCTGTCCCCTCTCCCCCCCTCCCCGCCCCTGCTCAAAATAAATAAATAAATTTTTAAATATTAAAAAACAAAAGAAAGTACATTAGTGTAACCAATGACAAAATGTAAAAAGATCAGCCCTTTAATAAGTCTTCATAACTAATTAGACAATGTAATAGAAGAAAAAGATCCCATTCACAGTAGCAACAAAACCCATAAATGTCTACGAATAAACTTTTAGAAATGTTCAGGACTTATATGGAGAAATCTCTAAAACGATCTTCTCAGAGGAGAGGTCTCGAAATTATAAAGTTGAATATTGTCCAACATCAACAAATTCCCAATAGAAATCCCAATGAGATTAGTGACAGTCACCTTTGGTTGCCTTACCAATAGCCATTGCTCTTCTTTATGGCTAAGAGTACCTAGTATGTGGAAGGATGCTCAATACTAAGATTTTGGATGACTTCGCCTTCCTCTGTATTCTTTTGTATATTATTTGAACTTTCGGTTTGAATTTATTTTGACTTTATGATGGTAATTTAAAAATTGTAACAAAAATATAAAATGCCTTGGAATCATTTAACAAGAAAAATGCAAATCCTATATAAAGGAAACTTTAAGATATCAAAGAAGGATGCAAAACAGAAAAGCATACTATTGGAAGACTCAATATCTTTTTTTTTTTTTCAACGTTTATTTATTTTTGGGACAGAGAGAGACAGAGCATGAACGGGGGAGGGGCAGAGAGAGTGGGAGACACAGAATCGGAAACAGGCTCCAGGCTCTGAGCCATCAGCCCAGAGCCTGACGTGGGGCTTGAACTCACAGACCGCGAGATCGTGACCTGGCTGAAGTCGGACGCTTAACCGACTGCGCCACCCAGGCGCCCCTGGAAGACTCAATATCTTAAAGATGTTGCTTTTCCATTAGTTGATCTTTAATATAACATGATCTCAGTAAAATTGACAGCAAGATTTTTTGGGGAACGGAACAAGCTAGTTCTTATGTTTATATGATAAAATTAAAAACCATTAAGAGCCAGGAAAACCCTGAAATAATAAATCCTGAATTGACCAGATATTAAAACATACTATAAAACTACAATAATTACAAAGTACTTGTACAATAAGATGGGTCAATGGAATAGAATAGTTTTATCAGTGCCTTAGTTTCCTATTGCTGCTGTAACAAATTACCACAAATTTAGTGGCTTGATATAATGAAAATGTATTATCTTACAGTTATGGAGGTTAGAATTCCTAAATGGGTTTCACCAGGCTAAAATTGAGGTCTTGGCAGAATTGTGTCTCTTCTGGAGGTCCTAGGACAAAACCTTACCTTCTCCAGGTTCTAGAGGCATCTGCATTCTTTTTTTTTTTCAACATTTAATTTTGAGAGACAGAGCGTTAGCAGGGGAGGGATAGAGAAAGAGGGAGGCACAGCACCCAAAGCAGCTCCAGGCACTAAGCTGTCAGCACAGAGTCCAATGCAGGGTTTGAACTCAAAAGCCATAAGATCATGACCTGAGCCAAAGTCAGAGGCTTAACTGACTGAGCCACCCAGGGACCACATGGGGCATCTGCATTTTGAGTCACCTTACCAGCAGTACTGTCAGACAGTGTGTGCACTAAAGTCACCAATCATTCTGATCTCTACTTCCGTGATCGCATCTCCTTCTTTGACTCTTGACATTCTGCTTTCCTCTTACAGAAAATCCTTGTGATGACATTGGGCCTACCCAGCTGATCCAGAATAGTCTCCCCATGTCAAGATCCTTCAAAACCTCTGCAAAGTCCCTACGGCCATTTAAGGCAACATTCACCTGTTTTAGGATGTGGACATCTTGGTTGTGGGAGGGGTGGTGGTCGTGGTGGCTATTATTCTGCCTACCACACTCAGATAGGAATACATAGAGAAATCTAGTATATGATAAAAAAGGCATTCCAAATCAGTGGGGGAAACAACCTGTTTATTAAATGGTGCCGGAATAACCCCATAGACATCTGGAAAAAAATTAATTTGTATCCTTATCTCATACTTTTTGTCAGGATAAATTTCCAGTTGGCTCAAAGATATAAAGTATTAAGTCATAAAAGTCTAAGAGAAACCATAGATCTTATAGTGGTGAAAATCTAAGTATAACACAAACTCAAAAGCTATAAAAGAAAATATTAATACATGTGACTACATACCTTTAAAATTCTAAATGGCAAAACCCATCATAAATAAAGTCAAATAAAACCACAAACTAGGGGGAAATTTAGCACACCACTATCACAAAGAGTTTCTTTTCTCTTATACTTAAAAATGTCTTGCAAGTCAATGAGAAAGAGAAATAACTCAAAAAAATGGGCAAAGTTTATCAATACCTAATACACAGAAAAGGAGATAAAAATTGCTCTAAAGTATATATAAAGAAACTCAACCTCACACATACTACGAAAATGCAAATTAAAACCTGAGACACCATCAAAAAGTTTGGAATGTACTGGATTAGTAAATTTAGGGAACCAGGTGTTTATTGCTAGTAGGATTAATACAACTATATAGTATTTTAAAGGACAGTTTGGTGGTATCTATTAAAATTACAAATGTAACTAGGCTTTGACTCAACAGCTCCCTTTCTAGGAAGCTGTCCTAGATAAACTTACAATTGTGCAACATTTCGTCATTGTTTGCCGTAGGTGGTAAGCAACCTACGTGTTTATCAATAGTGGTATGATACATTCATCCTGTGGACTGTTTAATTAAAAGGAAAAAAATATATGTTGGAAGTTCTTTATGTACTGCTCTGAACCTATCAAGATATTTAGTTAAGTGAAAAAGACAAAATGAAGGACAGTGTGTATTGAGGAGCTATTATCTGTGTAAAAAAGGGAGAGAAGAAATATATATTTACACACTCATATCAACTTGCACACGTGTTCGCTTTTGTACACAGGAAAGCTTTGGTAAGGTGGACAAGAAACTGGTAACATTGGTTTTCTCCAAGAAGGGAAACTGTGTGTCTGAGGACAGAATAAAAGGGAAACTTTTTCCTTTCCTTTTTGTACTTTATGAATTTAGGACCATGCGAATGTATACCCACACAAAAACTAAAAAATAATGCAGACTTAGATCCGATTTTTAAAAAAGAACACTTGATAAAACTTGCCTTTTTGGAAAAATTTTAAAGGATTGGGGAACATTAAGAGCAAGAATTTGAGGGCTCTACTGCTGCTGCCCGTTCGTGGCTGCAAGACCTGCCAGGATACTGCCCCTGTCCCTCCATCCGCCCCTTGACCACCAAAGTCCACCAAGGTGACCAAAGGAAACCGTACCACTGGTGGGTTCAAACCGTACCACTTCTGCAGACCGAGCATTACCGGCAGTACCACCAAATCGATTACCACGCCCACAAATACCACAATACCGTCAAATAAATATGGAAATACAATACAATACACACAATAAGGCAAAAAAAAATACTGAGGTACACAATAAAGGCCACAATACAGAGATACAATACAATGACTACAATGAACCATTATTCATGCATGACCAAATTGCTTGATATGGTCCCAGAACGAGATTCTACGCAGATCCGAAAGAACCAACTGGCAGCAACCAACTTCTGATGTCACCAGGCCTGGTTGAGGTCCAGGACTGGCATTGAATAGGAAAGCAACCAGTGGTCCGTGAGAACCTACACAGAGGCAAGGTGCCGCGGTGATTGACAGTGACCTGCCGGCTTGGAACCGGGCGGAGAACCAGCAACTGCACGAGCTATGGTTAGGGGGACTGCGGCAGGAGGCGGAGGTGTGGGAGCAGGAGCAGTGGCAAGTGGAGGAGAAGGCCCGCGGGTCGAGAGGCTGAGGCCTGCTGCAGGATCAGAAGAGCCGCAGGAGAGGCAAACATTTCATCACCTGAGAGAATCTGGAGGCGTGGGTAGAAGAAGTGTTCGACTCCCTGAAGAGCTACAACTGGGCCATCACCAGAGAGGGACTGGTACCAGGTCAGGCCACAGCACAGCACAAGGCCTCTGAAGTGCCCATCCAGGGGCCATGTGTGTATGGGGGTAGAAAGGTTGGGCCTGGAATTAACCAGTTGATGTTTCAAAAAAAAAAAAAAAAAAAGAAAGAAAAAAAGAAAAGGAGAGCACGAATTTGCAGGATGTCTGGGTGGCTCAGTTAGTTGAACTACTAACTCTTGATTTGGCTTGGGTCATGATCCCAGGGTTGGGATCCATCTCTGCCTGGCTCTGCGCTGCCAGGGCAGAGCCTGCTTGGGATTCTCATTCTCTATCTCTGTCTTGTTCCTAGTCTTAAAAAAAAAAAAAGCAAGAATTTGCCATAGTCTAGGGAAGGAAGAAATCAAATTTGGCATCAAAAATAGTTGAAGTGGTGCCTGGGTGTCTCAGTTGGGTAAGCTTCCGACTTCAGTTCAGGTCCTGATCTCTCTCTCTCTCTGGGTTTGTGGGTTTGGACCTCCTGGGGCTCTGTGCTGCCAGGGCAGAGCCTGGACCCTGCTTCAGATTGTGTGTCTCCCTCTCTCTCTCTCTGCCTCTCCCCTGCTCACACTCTGTCTCTCTCTTTCAAAAATAAATAAACATAAAAAAAATAGTTGAAAGAAGGGGTGTGTGTCTGGCTCAGTTGGTAGAGCATGCCATTCTTGATCTTGGGGTTGTGAGTTTGAGCCCCATGTTAGTCCTAGAGTTATTTTTTAAAAAGTTGAAGGAAGATATATCTACCTTATGGAACAAAACAGATTAATCAAACTTCGTTACAACCTGGATGAAATCAGTCTCAGAACTATACTGCCTTTAGTTACTTAGTCATCAAGCAAAACTCTTTTTATTTCCAATTTTTTATTTTGAAAAAAAGCCTACAGTAATGTTCTTGTTTCTCTCACACACGTACATGTATAAACAGACACTTTTAAAAAGCCATTTGAAAACAAGTTGCAGACATGTATTTTCTAATAAGGACATTCTCCTATATAACTACAATACTGTTATCACACCTGAGAAATGTAACACTGATACGAGAATAGTATCTAATATGTGGTTTATATTCAGATTTCCAAGTGTTCTCAAAATATCCTTAATAGGTGTTAAAAAAGGAGCAACAGACCAAAAATGGAGTCATTTGTGCTAAGCTACATGTCAGCAAACCAAAACTTAATACCTAACCTAATTTCAGTTTTAGCTTTTCTGGAATGTAACCTTTAACTGGTCGACATGGAATTACCTACTCAGCACTAGTGAGATAATCCACAGATCCTTTCCCTTCCCTTCAGAAGGGCAACCTTGCTTGAAACAATGCATTCTTTACTAATAATTTTTTTCCTGCCCCGTTTTGGCATTTCAAAAACCTTCCACTTTGTACAGTCCTTCCGAGTTCCTTTCTATTGCTAGATAGTGTTAATACTAACACTGTGAGAAAGAGCCTGGAGCCTGTTTCAGTTTCTGTATCTCCCTCTCTCTGCCCCTTCCCCACTCACACTCTGTGTGTGTCTCTCTCTCTCTCTCAAAAATAAACATAAAAAAAGAAACTAATATGTGAGAAAGTACTACTATTGTTTTACATGTGAGGAAAATGAAACTCAGAGAGGTTAACTGCTGCCAGCTGTTGCCACAGAAAAGATGCTAATCCAGTATGTTTATAGCAGAAACTTGGGTCATACTTAGCTACACTGCTTCATATCAGTCTTAACTCAGAAAAGCCCTCCAGAGGAAAGAAGGAAAGGGGGTGAGAGCCTGCTCTCCACCCTCATCAGGGCAGAGACATTGCAGAGGCAATGGAATCTAGGTTCTATCAGAAGATGGTGAAAATCTTCACCCCTATCTCAGCAAGAGCTAGCCTTAGACACACTCCCAGAACAATTTTTATCCAATACAGGAGAAATTCAGAGGAACCGCTGAAAAACTTGATTGGATTCAATAAACAAACTGTATGAACCAGATAGCCTGGCATACAATCAGCTCAGACTAATTATCTAGAAGCTGACCACCCTGGCATATTATTACTGGGAGCAACTGGACACTCCAATCGTCCCAAACAATGAAAGTCCCCAACTAAACATCTTGGGTTAGAAAGACTTACCCTACCTCTAGGAAACTGGGAGTTTTTCAGTCATTCCGCTCATTTGTGGAGTATAGGAATGGGAATGTTAGAACCCAAGCCCCTAGTAGGCAGTCTTCTCTTTATATAAAATACTGATGATTTTCCTTGCTCCCACTGGTTGTGGTGGCTGGCACCAGGTAGGTCCTGTGGCCAGGCACAGGTTCTGCCAGGGCTCCCTCCTGGCAGAACCAGGTGCGCCCTCCACATGCAGAATGACTCCAGCCAGTTCATGGACTTATATGTGCCGCAGAAATGCTCAGCCAGCAACCATGTCATCAGTGCCAAGGACCACGGATCCCTCTAGATGAATAAGGCTGAAGTTGACAAGGTGACAGACAGGTTCAACAGCCAGTTTAAAACCTTCACTATTGATGAGCCCATTCACAGGAAGGGTGAGTCAGATGACTCCATTCTCCGACTGGCCGATGCCACATTTCAAAGAACTGTTGACTGGAGAGAATCACAGATGCAGAATATTTGTCATAAATAAAGAGTGAAAACCCAAAATACATAAAATATTGATTTGAGTGTTTCCTTGCACATTCAGATGGATGAGGTTATCTCATGATCACTCTACCAGCATCCTCAGGTGACATGAAAACCATACTAGTTAATTATAAATACTGATACTGACAATTGACAGGTTGACAGTGACTGCTTCTGAGAATTTGTGCTTTAGAGTTTCCTTATTAAACGTGACATTATTTTTAGAATTTCTACAAGTAATGTTTAAAATGACAGCATTTTGGGGCACCTGGATGGTTCAGTTGGTTAAGCGTCTGATACAGGCTCAGCTCAGGTCTTGATCTCAGGGTCATGAGTTCAAGCCCCATGTTGGGCTCTGTGCTGGGCCTGAAGCCTACTTTAAAAATAAAGAAAAACTAGAATGACAGCCTTTTGGACTTAAAGTTGTATAAAAGTGTTTAAAGAATTGTATGTGCTTAATTTTACATTCTCACCAGAAATCACAAGGTTTTGATTTCTCCATATCTCCTCCAACACTTACTTTCCAGTTTATTTCCTTACTTATTTTGAGAGAGAGGGTGCATGCATGAGTGCAAGCAAGGGAGGGGCAGAGAGAGACGGAGAGAAAGAACCCCAAGCAGGCTCTGTGCTGTCATCGCAGAGCCTGACCTGTGGCTCCATCTCACAAATCTGTGAGATCATGACCTGAGCCGAAATCAAGAGTTGGGATGCTGAGCTACCAGGCGACCCTATTTATTTATTGAGTAATCTCTATGCCCAACATGGGGCTCAAACTCACAACATTGAGATCAAGAATTGCATGCTCCACTGACTGAGCCAGCCAGGGGCCCCTTATTTTCCATTTTTTTAAGTCTTTTTTTCTTGGGGGGAGGGAAAGGGGCAAAGAGAGAGAGAGACAGAGAGACAGAGAGACAGAGAGAGAGAGAGAATCTGAAGCAAGCTCCAAGCTCTGAACTGTTGGCATAGAGCTCACGAGCCAAAGTGAGCTCACGAGCCAAACTTTGACCTGAGCCAAAGTTGGATGCTCAACAGACTGAGACGCCCAGGCGCCTCCTTATTTTTCATTTTAAAAATTACCCATTCTAGGAGTGCCTGGGTGGCTTAGTTGATTGAGTCACTGACTTTACTCAGGTCATGATCTCGCAGTTTGTGAGTTCGAGCCCTGCACTGGGCTTGCTGCTATCAGTGCAGTGACTGCTTCAAATATTCTGTCTCCCTCTCTGCCTCTTCCCTGTTCACTCGGTCTCAAAAATAAACATCTAAAAAAAAATTTAAAAATTTACTCATTCTGATAGGTTTAGGGTGGTATCTCATCATGGTTTTAATTTGCATTTTCCTAATGACTAATGATGTCAAGTATTTTTTTTCATATACTTGTTGTATATGCCATTTGTATATCTTCTTTGGAAAAACGTCTATTCAATTCCTTTGTCCATTTAAAAAATTGGATTGTCTACTTGTTAAGTTTCAAGAATTCTTTATATATTCTGGATACTAGACCCTTATCAGATACACCATCAGTGTCCTTTGCAATTCCATATAAATTTTTAGGATCAACTTTTCCATTTTCCATCCTAAAAAGGTTGATGTGATTTTGATACGGGCTGCTTTCAATCTGCACATTACTTTAGGTAGTATTGCCATCTTAACAGCTTGTCTTTCAACCCATGCATATGGAATGTCTTCCATTTATTTAGGCTTTTAATTTCTTCCAGCACTGTGCCCCAGTTTATGTCCTATTTTATTGCACAAATTTCAAATTTTGATATAGTCTAATTTATCTATTTTTACTTTTGTTGCCTGTACTTTTGGCATCATATCTAAAAATTTATCACCAAATCCAACATTGCAAAGCTTTTCCCCTATGCTTTTTTTCTAAGAGCTTTATACTTCACAGTTTTAGCTCTTAACATTTAGTTCTTTGATACATTTTGAGTTAATTTTTGTATGTGATGTAAGATAAGAGTCCAGGGGCACCTGGGTGGCTCAGTCAGTTGAGTGTCCGACTTGATCTTGACTCAGGTCATGTTCTTGCAGTTCATGGGACTCAGATCCATGTTGGGCTCTGCGCTGACACAACAGATCTTGCATGGGATTCTCTCTCTCCCTCTCTCTGCTCTTCCTGCACTCACATGTGTGCACTCTCTCTAAAGGTGTGGGGTGTCTGGGTGGCTCAGTAGGTTGAGTGCTAATTTTGACTCAGGTCATGATCTCATGGTATGTGGGTTTGAGCCCTGCGCCAGGCTCTATGCTGACAGCTTGGAGCCTGGGGCCTGTTTTGGTTTCTGTGTCTCCCTCTCTCTCTCTCTGTCCCTCCCCTGCTCA